CTTTATCACTGTTATTCTGCCAGCATGGCTTGCTTTGGGGTGGTTTGTTTTTGGTTTTGTTTTTTTTTTTTTTTTTCCTCTTGGTACTTCTCCAGACAATTGAGGTAAGAAGGGAGCTTTTCAGCTGCCAGGAGTAGCAGGTTAGAGAGAAAGTGTTTTGCTCCAAGAGGCTTAATTTGAAGCGAAGGACAGGAACAAGGCTTACATGAACCTCTACGAAGGGAAGATGACTAGAATGGTTTTAGTCCTAGGTATAATTTTAAAATTGCATCAGAAGATTCTGCAATGGTAAATACCCATGGTTTCCTCCTTGCTATGAAATTTGGCGTTTCTCTGAAAAAGCGGTTCTTTTTCAGTGTCTGCCAAGTCAATCCATCCTTAGGTATCTGAGGCACCTCCCTGAGTTTCAACAATATCAAATTTAGACTTAGGTTCCACGGGCTTCATATGAAATTCATATAAAATCAGTATTGTGGATTCAGCTGAAATCAGGACTTTTTTTTTTTTTTTAAGTGCCTTTCACAAGAACAGTACAAGGTGGATCCTGCTACAGGGAACTTGCAGTCTAAACGCAAGTTTTATCTCATGTTTACAAGAAGAAGCTTGAAACGGAGACGTAGGGACTGATCGTGTGGCTTTTCATAGGCAGCCACTGTGGTTTGCCGGTGGTTTGAATTGCTCAGGAGCTGCACAGCTATGCTGGCACCGTTCTCATGTCCCAGCCCTCAGCTGGATTCATTCGCTCAGGATCAGAAAGTGGCTAAGGGAGGCTGCATAGCCACTGGTCAGCCCTCTGCCCAGAGGACAGAGTTGGTTCACGTGTGCTCCAAAAGGCCACATAGACCTTATGGGGAACACAAGATTCAACCATTGAATAGGCAGCTGTTTAGGCTGCTGCTGCTAAGAAGTAACTGTTTAAGTTACTTCTTAGCCTTAGTTCTTAGTGGAAATACACTTACGGTGTAATTCACCACCACTGCCATCTTCAAATGGGACTATCCCTATCCAGAAAGTCTCTCTCCATGAACTACAGAGAAAACTTTGCTTAGCTGAATAATCCTATAGTCGAATGACTACTTCGTGTTTTCTTGAAAGTCAGCGACAAGGGATAGAGGCACCCAAAGGATCATCCATCCCATTGGAGAGGAGGTGACTAGCTGAATAAGCTGAAACACTCTTATGCCCAGCCTATGAAAAGGGCATAAGTGGTTACTCGAGATCGGATGCCAAGCTTTGTACTGCTTATGTTAACTGAGACGAATCATAGAATGGTTTAGGTGGGAAGGGACCTTAGAGATCATTGAGTTCCAACCCCCCTACCATGGGCAGGGACACCTCCCACCAGACCAGGTTGCTCCAAGCCGCATCCAACCTGGCCTTGAACACCTTCAGGGATGGGGCAGCCACAGCTTCTCTGGGCAGCCTGTGCCAGTGCCTCACCACCCTCACAGTGAAAAATGTCTTCCTAATATATAATCTGAATCTCCCCTCTTCTAGTTTGAAGCCATTCCCCCTCGTCCTATCACTACATGCCCTTATAAAAAGTCTCACAACGTTTACCAAACATGAATTTCAGTCTGCAGTTTGCAATGCAGACATGGGAAGGGAAGGCAGAGTTTGTGCTTTCTGCAAGGTGTCTTGTTTTCAAGACCATCCGTTAGCAAGACCACCACTTTTCAGTCTGGCCCACATGGAATCTTATTCTTTAAAACTGTCTGTTGTTATTGCTGATTTCTAACGTGCTAAGAACTAGGAAAATTTGCCCACTTGAAGCTGCACCTTGCTGCTTGAAGTGTCTGAGCTACCTCTTTCAAAGCTAGCTTGGGCATCCCTACATCGCATGGCAAAGGAGACATACCGTCAGTGCCAGAGGAGAACCCCGCTGTGCAGTTTCACACTCAAGTCACGTTGATTTCCGTGGGCAGATTTTACCCAGCAGGAGTTGCTGGCTGTATTATGGTTTACAAATGTAAGGGATTGTGCACACTGGCCTTTATCACATTTAATATCTTTTTCTTTTTTTTTTTTCATTCTTTTCTTTGCTCTTATAAATTGCTTGTTTCAAATATGCTTTTCCAGACAGGATCAGACAACATTCGCATTGATTATTATTTTTTTCCAATCTCCATCACTCACCTATTTTAGTAACTCAGGCAAATTACTTAATTCGCTACTCGTCTATCCCTGTCTTCCAATGTCAGCACATCAGTGCTTTCTAGCACAACGAACTTATAATGTCTTTTTAAATGGGGCTTTTATTTAGCTCTGGATGGTATTACCACAAAAAAAAAAAAAAAAAAAAAAGAGTCCACCTGGTATAACTGAATTTGAAACACAGTGCTAGGAAATATTTATTCTCTGTCTTCACTTTTTTCTTTTTTTTTTTTTTTTGTTCTGCAGTATGAGGATTTCCTTGCATTTCTCTAGGTTGGTTCACAGTATCTATTGCCACCCCAGTGTTTGGAAAATGACTGATGTTGAAGTAATAATAAGAAATGAGAGCTTTCCCTATTCCTATCAAGCTCATTTAATTTAAGTGAGCAAGGCTAGCAGGTGGTACTCAGAAGATCTCATTAGCCACTTTGATTGTGTCTAACACCTCTTGTAAGCAAATGTCTTATTACCATGGATCTTTACATATCTTTTACTTTCATACGGAATGCCACACATTAGTAAACTATAAACCTATTACTACGTGTCTTCATGTTTACATGGTCTTACTGAGTGGACAGCCACTAGGTATCAAAGACAATAAAATCAAATAGCGCTCAGTGTGATCTTGATTTCCATCTTTAGTATGCTGATTGTATCATAAAACTTTTCAAACCCCAGTCTTTAAACCTTTTGGAAATGTTCTAGTGAACATCTATGTTCTACTGTTCTATGTTCACAGTATTCATACAATGAGATCCCCATCTGGCAAAATAAACAACCTGGGGTAGGAGTGGAAGAAAGAGGGAGGAGAGGGAAATGTAAAGGATTCCTTTTTTTCCAGCTCCTGCGATGAATTAATGAGCATTTTTGAACTAATATTGTATTTTGGTGGATCTGGAAAAGCTGAGGGATTTTTAGCTAATAGGATCAGGATTTTATACGGTTATTAAATTACATGGTGTGATCTGATGCTGCATCCTTTAATTTGAAAGAACGATTATCAACTGCCTATCATATGCCCTCATTATGAATCCATAAGAGTGTTGTTTGAGACTGACCTAATTCTTCAAACTCTTTATCACTCAGAACTGCCCTATCCACCACATGTGGCAGTAACTGGCTTGTATTTTGTGAGAAAACATAGGGCTTGATTCGCTGCCACTGAAGCTGATGGAAAAATTATACCAACTCCAGCCTTGTGAGCATACACTCTCCAGGGATGGAAATCTGCTACTATCACCAAAGCTGATAAACTCCACACTGTTTTTACAAGTTGACCACCCAAACCTCATTATTTTGTACTTGTGCCAGGCTGAAAGTATGACACTTTGAAGTATTATCCGCTTCTACTAAAGATCTTATTTTTCCTGGTACATAGTCAAAGAGGGAGTAATTCAACAGAAAACCTCTTAGAAAATCATAGAATTTGGGGCTTTTAATAATTGATAAGATTGTGTTCGATCTCTCAAATGCAAATAAGCACTGGAGATATTTAGAAATATTTTTTCATTCTTTTCCT